GGGGGGGAGGGGGTCTGCTCTGAATAGGGGACCCCAGCTGGGGTTCCATAATGATATCAGTGGGGGACAGGCAGAGCTCTCTGCTATCCAGATGGGGAAACTGAGGCGGGAGTCCTCCAGTGTTTGGGAAGGGAGGGACTACCCAGCAGCTGTTAGGACCACTCATCTTCCCCATGAAAACACTGACCTGGAGCCCGAGCACCTCATCAGCGGTCATTCAATGTTCAAACTGAGACACAGGAGTGGAAGGCAGCTGGGTCACCTGGCCCCTGAGCCCCCCTCTACTCTGGACAAACCAGAGCGGAACCCTCCCCCACCCCAGCTGCCAGGAGAGGGTGTTGGGCTCTGGTGCCTGCCCGCCTGCCTCCCCTGCTCACGTGCCTGCAAGAGGCTCATTTTAGCACCTGGCCTCCTTTCCCTGCCTGGAGGGAGCTCAGGGAACAGAGCAGGGAAGAGAGCAGCCGAGGGGGACAGGGAGATCTGGACGCAGGGCCCAGGGGGGTGTCTGATCGTTCTCTTCTCCCCACCCCAAAGGGGTCCAGGCACAGAGAGGGGTCCTCAGCCACCGTGCAGCGTGGAGATGAAGAGGACGCTGTCCTGGTCCTGAAGCTGGTAGTCCAGCTCACCCTGGGCCAGGAGAGAAAGGAGGAATCATCAGGCCACTTTCCCAGTTTCTCCCCAGGTGCTGGGAGGGCAGGGGAGGAGGGGTGCACCTGGCTGCTTTGGGAGAGAAAGATAAAATCTACCAGAAAAACAGGTACCCTGTACATTAACTAGCAAATGTCCAGGACGGAGGGCAGCTCACCACTCCCTCTGCTTCCCCTCGGGTGGGAGACTGAGCAGCCCGTTTGGAGACTGGAGGGGGAAAGGATTCTTCACAAACTGAAAGGCCCAAGGCTTTCCTGCTACAGTGGTGAGGGGAGGGGCTGGCAAGGTGTCCTGAGGCTGGGAGGGGGGTGTCCCCAGGTACTGACCAGCAGCTCCCAGTCGGCCTCGTTGATCAGCACCAGAATCCCCGGCCGCCTGTGGAAAAGACGGTGTGAGCAGCAGGGAGGGGAGGGCAGAGGTGGTCAGCAGTGAGGGCAGAGGCAGCGGGAGAGGGGTGGGGGGCTTTCCTCCAGGGGCCCGGGTTACAGGTCTCCCAGGAAGAAGAGGTGAAAGTCTGACTCTAAAGGAAACACAGTCAGAGGGTCATGGCCTTGGGGCCACGTGGAAATCCCAGCCCCACCTCCTGGACCTCAGGCAGGTCGTTCTGTTTCTCGGTGTCAGTTTCCTCAGCTGAACATGGGGCAGGTTACGGCGCCTTCCCCACGAGGCCTGTGCAAGGATGAGCTGGCATGATGGGTGCTTGCCTGCCAGTCTGTGGTATATCTCAGCTCTTCCAAAGCAGGGAAGGCCGATCGTGGCTCCAGCACCCGAAGCCCAAGGGCAGCCCTGCCTGGTGTGAGGCAGGGTAGGTGACGTTGGGACAGGCACCTCAGCCTGGCTCCTGATGGCAGTGGCCCAAGGAGCACTGCTGTCCTTGGCAGTGGCCTCCGTGACTGCCGGAGCATGGCTCGAACCAAGGGCGGATGGCAGCCTTAGCACCCAGGGCCTGCTGGTGGCCTCTGCTTCAGGGCCAGTGACCGATCCCACAGAAACCTGCCCGCCACCTTTACCCCTTAGGCTGCCTGTTTTAGAAGGGCCTTCTTGGCACTTGGGACCTGGCTCCTTGCCTAGGAGGCTGGGCTGGGCCTGGGGAAGATACAGCAGCTGTGGGCTGAGGTAGGGGTGCCTCCAGCGAGCACAGTGACTCCTCAGAATCCCAGACCTCTGCTGTCCGACACAGCATCGGTTAGCCATGTTTATATTTAAATTACCATGAAATAAAACTGAATATTTAGTCTTCAGCCACACCAGCCACACTTCCAGGGCTAAACGCGTTTGTGCCCAGCAGCTACCATACTGGACAGCAGATACAGAACACGCCCATCATCACGGAAAGTTCCAGAGGTCAAGGAATGACAGGGACCCGGGCAGCTTCTTTTCCTTGATTCTTTGGACAGAGAGGGTAGCTGAGGCCCAGAGAAGTGAAGCAATTTGCCTGAGGTTCCACAGTGAGTCTGTGGCAACCTGAAGGAGGAATCCATGTTTCTGGAGAAAGTTATGTCTCCTGACCTGGGCATTTGAAAAATCCCGAACAACCCAGTGTGGTAACAAGGAAACTGAAAGCTCTTTTCCCAGACGGTCCGGGGTGATAAAGGAGGCAACAGGACATGGAGAGGCTGTGGCTGAACGCAGAGCCAGGGGCTCCGACCTTTCCTCTGCCCGCCCCCCTTGGGGAAGGGAAGAAAGGGACTCACACGCTGTCTCCCTGGATGAACAGCTCTGGCCGCTCTTTTAGCAAATTCTTCTTGATCCAGACAAGGAGGTTCCGGATGTCCCCTGGAGAGGGAGGCACAGAGCAAACTACTGTCAACTCCAAGCTATTCCTATGCCCAGAGCCCTGCCTGCACCTGAGAGGAGTGGACACGGGGTTCGGCTCGGAGGGCCTCTTTTAGCCAGGCTGTCCTGCCCCTGAACCAGGGGATTCCCAAGGTGGGGAGGTGGGTTAGTGGGGCAGGGGCCTGCCAGGGAGGTCTGCAGGGAAAGTATCACCTAGCACTACCCAAGGCTTGACGAGGCCATGGGGATGCAAGGCAGGAGCTGTCACACTGCAGGGGTTGGGAGAAAGACCCCCATCCTGAGTCCTGACACTGCTGCACACAGGCTCCTGAGGGGGCCCTGGAGAGCCCGCCACCTCTCCCCACCCCTCCCTCCAGCCGGTCCCAGAGGGGAGGACCTGCTCGGCTCTGGAGGGTCTGCATATATTTCCCTTTGTGAAGGAGAGAAACAATCACTGAGCTGATACCATCAGTTAATTTCCTCCAGCGGAGGGAGGGAAGGATCCTTTACTGGCTGACAAATCACTGCAAGACCCCCCCCTCATAGAGCCCTCCCCACCTGGGGCTGTGGGCAGGCACTCTGAGGAGGCAGGAGGTTCAGGGTCGAAGGGCCTCTGTTGCTTTCCTGGACACTGACGTCTGCTGCTTTGTGGTTGTGGGACAGCCACCTAGTCTGCACATCACACAGAGGCTCAGGGCCACTGTCCCCAGGGTTGCCTCTCCTTTCCTAGGAGCAGGGTCCCAGGCCCGCACACTGACACCTGTAAAGCCCTCGAATGCTGTGGCTCTCAACTACCCACTGCTCACAGAGTGTCTCCGGAGGTGGCGGAGCTCCTTCCCTCCCTGAGACAACTGAGGATTGAAGGCCCCGGGAGAAGACAAGCGTCTAAGAAGCCAGCAGAGGGCTTGGGGCCTCTAAGTCAGTGTTTCAAGCTAAGCTGGAGAGGGGCCCAGCCAGTGCCTCGGATTCTACACTTAGAGTCAGAGTTCTGGCAGTCAGTGAGGGAAAGGCTGCCTGGGCAAGGAGAGAACTGGCTCTTCCCGCTCTAGGCCCAGCAGCGTGTGTCTCTCTCTCTCTCTCTCTCTCTCTCTCTCTCTCTCTCTCTCTGTCACACACGCACACACACACACGCAGGACCAGCTGTGGAAAGGGCTGTAAGACACTCTCAGCGGCCTGCATACTTCCCTCCCAGAAAGCAGGCAGACAGGCTGCACCCTAGACAGACAGGCTCACTTTGCTCCGGGCAAACCTCCCTGGATCGAACACCAGAAGAGCATGGGCCATGGGCAGTGTCCACGGACTGAGACCACTTTTCAATGTTAATTCTACTTTTAAACAAAGCAGACTGGAGTCCTTGTGGTCCCCGGAGTGGGCAGGGGACCAGAGTGCTGCCTCCAACTAGCTGCAGTCCATTCGGACTCCTGGCTGTGTCCCTCCCGAGGCTGGGACTCCAGAGGTCTCCCCTTGGCCTCCATCTTGGCACTGTCTGGTGGGCTGCCAGCCCATTCGTCTTGTGGCCACTCGATAGAGCCGCAGAGCCTGACACATCCATCAGCTGGCCTGGCGGGCAGGGCTCCGCCTGTGTGCAGAGGCACCAAGAGGGACAGGAGTGCCTGGCCTGAGGGCCACCAGCTGTACCTCCAGGACCCTGGCCACCCTGCCCAGAACCAGACCCAGCTATGTGAAAGGAGGGGCTTCCACTTCACTCTGGACAGGCTGGGGGCGGGGGGTAGTGGTCATGTCAGGGTCATCAGAGTGATGGCACCATCGTGGATCCCAGAGGGGTGGGCGGGGTGAGTCTGCGGCCGGTGCCGGCTCATTTATCATGATGCTCCTCTGTGCTGAGGTCACCCCCTCCCCTCCTCGGCACCCCAGGCCTGCCCACATTCTTGATAACCTGTTACCATGGTGAGGCCACCACACTGCCATCCTCATTGTTCCCCACGCCTGGATTTGGGGGTGGGGAGAGATGGGACTCATGGCAGGCTGCAAGGGCCACTAGGCCCGGCCCCAAACACCCCCCAGGGACATAGCGCTGGGCTTGCTGAGGCCCAGACAGTATGCAAATGGCCTCCAGGCCAGATGGTCGGCTCCCAAAGGCACCCAGGGGAGGGTAGGAGGGAGGTGAAGCAGAGTCAGGGCTGGGGCTTGAGGATAGCTCTGGGGAACCTCACTTTCACCTTCCCATGTCCTCCTGCCTTCCCCCGTGACAGGGTGGTTTTCCTCCTGGGGCCCCGCACAATCACTCACCAGGTAAATATTTACTGAGTGACTACTATGTGCCAGGTCCTAGGGAGCCAGCGGTGAGCAAGGTGGACACAGAGCCTACCCGCATGGAGCTGACAGGCCGGAGGGAAACCAGGCACTACTTACTTAATTAGCAGTGCTAAGCGCTATCCCCTCTGTGCAGGATCAGGAAAAGCCTTTCTGAGGATCTCAGCACTGAAGCCGAGGCCTGGAGGATGAGTCAGGTAGGACGGTAGCGTCCCAGGCAGGAGGAGGAACACGGGGAGACCCAAGGCAGGAGGGAATCGCAGGTTCAAGGTAACGGAACAGAGCAGGCAAGACAACTGGCATGAGCAGTAGCCAGGGGCCAGGTCCCACGGGGCACACGAGGGCTTGAGAAGGGGCCTGTTCTGGAGGAGAGCTCTGCCTCCCCGTGAACCCCGGAGCATTAACCAAATCTGTGCTCCAGGGCGCAGAACCCACCCAGCCTGGGGCGGTGCTCCGTTTCTTTTGAAACCTGGATCAAGATCCAGCTCAGATGGACGGCGTCACCAGTGGTGGGGTGTGTTCTGAGGACCCAGCACTGGCCGCAGCACACGGCAGGACCTCACACACAGCCCTCGGCTCCATCACTTTCTAGCTATGTGACCGTGGGTAAGGGTCCCTGAGCCTCAGCTTCCTTCTTTGCAGAATGGGAAGGGTGAGGATGTCTCATGGGGCTCCTGTGAGGACCGAGTAAAATGATTCCTATCAAGCTCCCGGCACTGTGCCCAGCACATCGATGCTGTAATTCTATGATTCAGAAGAACCTGTACCTTCTGCCCTCCTCTCTTGATGCCCTGAGCTTCTTCTACCTCTGCCTGGGGGGCCTAGCACCCTGGGGATACACTCAGACTGCTCTGGATAGTGGGGTACAGTCAGTCAACCATTAATCAGACGGCGCTGGGACTGGCTGGGGGGTTTTGTGGGATTCACTACCTTTTTTTTTTTTAACCCTCATCCGAGAATATGCTTTTTTTTTTTCCCCCCCAAGAATATGCTTTTATTGATTTTAGAGCAAGAGGAAGGGGGGAGAGAGAGAAACATCAATGTGAGAGAGAAACATTGATCAGTTGCCTCCCATACATGCCCCAACTGGGAATTGAACCCGCAACCTAGGTATATGCCCTGATCAGGAATCGAACCCGCAACCTTTTGGTGTATGGACGATGCTCCAAACAACCAACCAACCAACCAACCAACCAACCAACCAACCACATGGCCAGGGTAGATTCACTGCCTTTCCATCAGGAGCTGGAGAGGGTTTGGGAGAGTGGTGGCAGGGCCCCAGACACTGGTGGTCTCCCCATTTCAGATGTTCAGCCCCCTACGATGCTGCCAGGACAATCCAGCTGGAAGGAGCAGCATCCGAGGCCGTGGGTGCTGGAGGCCAGACTGCCTCCGGGCACGCAGCCCCCGAGGACGGGGAGGAGCACCCTAAGATGAGGGTTACCGTGCAGGAAGCTGCAGGACCTGGCCTGCCCACCTGGGGAAGGGCAAGTGATGGGAGCTGCTCGCTGCTCTGGGCGGAGTGGTTAAGGGTTTGTCTCTGGAGATGGGAACTGTGAGCTAAAGGCCGTGGATGGGGAGTCACTTCACCTCTCTAAGCCTCAATGTCATCCTCTGACAAATGGAGATGACAATCCAACCACCAAAGAGCTGCTGTGAGGATCCAGGCATAATGCTAGCAGAGGGCCCAACACAGCATCAGACACACAAGACAAATACACATTTATTTGCCCGGTGACTTAGAGCTCTCATCCTCTGTGCCGCAGAACCTCCTGAAAGCTGCTGGCCACAGCAGGCGTGCCCCTTAGAGGGCACCTAAAAAGGCTTCCACCAGAATCCTCACCCTGGAGGACTTGTCCCCATCTGGGAACACCAGCCACCCACTATGGCAGGGCCCCCAACAGTGTCTATCCTCGATTCTCAGGCTGGAAGAACACAATCTCAAGGTCTTATCAGATATTGAATCCCGGCTGCAACAGACCCTCATCCAGCCTCTCTGAACACTCCAGGGAGAGCTTATTTCCCAACCAGAAATCTATCTTCCTGTCACTCCCACTGAGCCCGGATGGCCCATGGGGAGGGGACCACGCCGACACATGTCCCCTCATCGCCATTCCTGCCATGCAGATCTGGGAGGGATAGGGCCCGGGTCCCCCAAGACTTCTCTTCCATAGGTTAAACCACTCTGGTCCCCACCAAATCTACTAGGCTCCAAGACAAGGCTCTTCTGGGAGCCCAACCCAGGCCTTAGCTGAAAAGGGACAAGAAAGAGCTGGGATGCGGGAAATAAAAGAGAAGAGAGGGCAGAGGGAACATCAGAGGGGCCATTTACAAGTGAATGGGATAAGAAAGGAGCAGTTTGTGGGCTACACTGGCCTCAGAAGGAGGTTTACAGATGTGCGAAGGGACGCTCCTCATTGTTTAATTAAGCAGAAAGTGGATCTTTTCAAAAGCAATTTTGCACAGGGACCGGGAGGGGTGGGGATGGAGAGGATGGCGGTGGGGAGGGGATTGATGGGGAGGGGATCTGCAAACAGGCCGGAGAGCAAAGAAAGGAACAGCTGGCCCCAGAGAGGCTGTGAAATGCATAACAAGCAGTTTAAAGCTCCTGAGCTCCCTCCAGCTCCTGCCCTCCCACGTCAGCCACCCTTTAGTACAAGGGCAGGGCAGAGGAAGAGGGACAGGGAGAGGTGAGGCAGACGCTTCTCCTCCTGGGGCAAGGGCAGGTAATGCCCATGCTGGGGCAGTCTGTCCACCGATGGTATTGGTTTGCTCCAGGCCACTGACAACCATGCATGGGCTGGAAGCCTTGAGGTGAAGGGATTCTTGAAGTATAAAAGCCAGCCCCCAGGGGCCACAATGCCCAGAGCTAGTGGGTACCCACCAATCCCAGCCAACCAAGGAGGAGACCTGTTCCATGGAAATGGCTATTAAGATGTTCCCCTACAAGCACAACTTCTCCCTGGACCACCGTGCCCTGCTTCCCAGAATCATATACTTGATCTGAAAGCAACATTTCCAAGCTGCAGATGTCAAATAGATAACCAAGTCAATGAAGGTGAAATCTAGCCCACCCTCCCATTTTACAGATGGTAAAACAGAGGCTCACAGGAAGAAGGGACTTGCTACTGTGCAATGCCAGGACTCCTCTCTTCAGTCCCACCCACTCTGGCCTTGCCCACACTGTTCTCCCAAACTGGACAGGTTGGAAGTTACCCCTGGCCCAAGACCCAGGGCTCTGGAGTTCCCTTGTTTGTGAGACTTGTCACAATCCATAATCTTATGGCTGCTCTTTTCTCTGCTGGAGTCTCCAGGACCTACTTGGCCAAGTGGCAGCCCCTGGGCCGGGAAGGCTGCCAGATGACAGATCTGGGCATGGTCCTCGGGAAAGAGTAAGGCTCTCCCAGTGGTAACTGTTGGACTCCCGAGTGTCAGGGTAAGGCCTGGTAGCTGCCAACCAGCTCTGTGGCTGCAACGTGACCCAGGCCTCTGGGCAAAGCAGGGCAAAAATGGGAACCAGAGGCAGAGTCGCAGCAAAGGGCCCAAAGACTGGGTAAAGGGGCCGTTTCAGCTTCTCTCCCCTGCTTCCTTTCCTTTCATCCCAGAGAGGGGAGGCTAGGCCCCCACCTGCCCTGAAAGCAGCAGATGGAGGACGTGGGATCACAGACCTGGTTAGCCCACCCTCCCTACCTGAGGAACTCTGAACAGGTCTCTCGCTTCTCTCTTGGTTTCCTTGATGACAGATAATATCTACGGGGCTCATTATCAAGTCAAAATACGTAACTGTTGAAAGCATGAATATAAATGAGTGAAAGTGTAAAAACTGGAAAGCACACTGCATGTGCGAGATGCTACGTGGTTCAGGGATAAATGGCGATGGGTTAGTGGTACCATGCAAGGACTCAGAGACCCCGAAATCCAGTTCTAAATCCCAGCTCTGCCATTTAAATACCTGTATGACTTGGAGTAAGACCCTTGACACCTGAGTTTGGGTTTCTACTTTTTTAAAATGGAATAATGATATGCCCTGGCTGGTATGGCTCAGTTGGTTGGGTGTCTGGTATATTGAAAGGTTGCCAGTTCGATTCCTGGTCAGGGCACATGCCCAGTTTGTGGGCTGGATCGCTGGTAGGGGGCATGCAGGAGGCAGCCGATTGATGTTTCATTCTCACATCAATATCTCTCGCTCTCCCTCTCCCTTCCTCTCTAAAAATCAATAAAAAATCTTTAGGAATCTGTGACAATTATTTGCACAACTAGTTGGGGCTTTGCCTACCATGCCAAACTCAGCCTGTGCCCTATAACACTGAACTTCTCTCAGTTCCTTGTCCACCCTGCGGCTTTTCACTGGGGGGAAGGGGGGGTCTCCACAAGTGCTATGGGCTTTGCCTGGAGCAAGCCCCACTCTGCTGCCCCTCCCATCTACTGGGCTGGCCCCTTTCCATCCCCCAGGACTCAGGCTCCAGGCCTCCTCTAAAGAGTCTTCCCTAACCACCTGTCATCTCCTCCAGCACCCTCTTGTTCTCATGCCAGTGACGACCACCTGTACAGTTACACACATATGTATACATGTGTGTATTTACTTATCGATTACCTGGCTCCACTTCCATTACACTATGAGCTCCATTGGGGCAAGAACCACATCTGTTTCACTAGCACCCAATACCCAGCAACTAGTACTGTGCCTGCACACAGGAGGCACTCAAAAAACATGTGCCAGCTATAGGAAAAAATAAAGTACTGACTCCCATAGCTGGCATTTACTGAGCACTCGGTCAATGAATGAATGAAAAACGTAGGAACGATTAAACTTAGGGGCATTTGTGCCATGCAAATGCACGGGAAATAAATCATAACTTGTGATATTTTAATCACTTCCCAGCCAGGTCTTCAAGGCTGGACCTCTGAAGCTCCTTCTGAGGGCCCCTTGTTCCCCCCCAAAGTCTGCACAGCCATCTGTCAAACTAAGAATCAGTCACCTCATCACCCAGCTCTCCCCCCACCAAGGACACACAATCCCACAATCCTGACATTTCACCCCAGCCTCATGCCCACCACCAGCTGAAGGGGGGCTGTGTCCTGTTCCTTGGTGAGTGTCTCCAGCCTCTGAATGTGGCACACAGATCTGCCCTGTGCCACTGTTCCCTGAACCGAAGGAGGACCAGAGACTGCCCCAGCAGCCAGAAAGTCTGGGCAATAACTGTCTGACCCCTGGCAGGTGCCTGTCCAGTCCCAGAAGGATCCTGTTGGACCTCACTGGCCATTCTCTCCTGCCCGCCTCTGGGACCCTCACTCCCCTGCCTCCTCATGACTGACTCCCTCTTCTCCCCTAAAGCCCTAGGGGAGGTGGGCCCTCGTTCTGGTCCAAGGGTCCTGAGCAGTTTTCTCTGGCCAGGACCCCCTGCAGGAACCTCACAGCTGTGACGCCAGCCCCTGCCTCTACGCTACACTGATGTTTACCCAGCTGGACCTCTTCAA